CTGCGGCGAGCCGGCGACCTCGACGGGCTGGCCGTCGTCGCAGAGGCGCATCGTCTCGCACCAACCGGCCGATGAGAGAATGCGCTTCGCTTCGATCACCTCGCCGTTCTCCAGCACGACGCCGACGACGCGGCCGTTCTCGACGTGCATCCGATCGACGCCGCTGCGAAGCTTCAGCTCACCGCCGAGGCCACGAAACTTCTTCACGAGGTTTTTGAGGATCAGCCGCACGCCCGCATGAGGCCGGCCCAGTCCCTCAAGAAAGATGCTGCGGAACATGATGCAGAACTGGCCCCAGTCCATGTCGTGCTCGCGGGCCGACCCGTAGAACATCAGCGGGCAGAAGAGCATCTCCACGAGCAGCGGCTCGGTCAGAAAGCTCGACACCACCGCGCGGGCCGACTGCTGCTGGTGCTCGTCGGTCAGGTCGTCGTAGTCGGCGATCGACGCAATGAACTGGCGCCAGTTGTCGGCCTGCGCTGGGAACTCGCGCGCAACCGACTCGGCAAGCCGCTCGGGGTTGTTGTCGAACTGCAACCGATGGCCCGGGAAGACGACCTGCGAGCCGATCTGCGGCGAGATCTGGAAGTCGTCCCAGCTAAACCGCAACTGCCGCAAGAGCCGCGCGAGCGGTCCCTTCTTCGTCCCCTTGGGCGTGATGTTCGTCAGCGCATGCAGGCCAACGTCGTAATCCCGTCGGCGCAGCCGATAGAACGAGTTGAGCCCGCCGATGGTGGTGTGCTTCTCGAGGATGCAGACGCGCTGATCGTACATCGCCAACCGAATCCCGGCCGCGAGCCCGCTCATGCCAGCGCCGATGATGAGGGTGTCGTACACGGGAGGGGTTAGGGGCTAGGGACGAGGGGCGAGGGAAACGAGCGCCAGCCGGCTCGGCGAAGCGAAACTTCCCTAGCCCCTAACTCCTATCCCCGGCCGTCAGGCCTTGGCGATATCCTTCATCAGCGGCTCGAGGTAGTTGACCGTTGAGCTCATGCTCGCCAGCTCGACGTAGTCGTCCTCGGGGATCTGCACGCGGTGACGCTTGCGCAGCTCCATGACGATGTCGAGGAAGTCCATCGAGTCGAGCTCCATCTGCTCGCGGAAGGACTGTTCGTCTTTCAGCTCCGAAAGGTCCTCGTCGGGAGCGATGTCGCCGAGGATGTCGAGGATCTCGTCGCGAATCTCATCACGCGTCATTGAATTACCTACTTCCTTCTCTTATTAAGCCCACGAATCGCACGAATCGACGCGAATAAGATTCGTGAGGATTCGTGTGATTCGTGGGCTCTTAACGTATTTAGACTTTGGTTACGATCAGCGCGCTGTTGATCCCCAGCATGCCGAACGAGTTGTTGAGGATCGCTTTGACTTCGTGGCCTTCGCGGGGCTCGTTGATCACGAGGCCCGGGACGGCGCAGTCGGGGTCGAGGTCGTCGACGTTGATCGTCGGGTGGACCACGCCGTCGACGAACGACAGCAGGTTGCCGGCGAGTTCGAGCGAGCCGGCGGCGCCCATCGCGTGGCCGATGAAGCTTTTGGTGTTGTTGATCGCGGTGCGGGTGCTCTGGCCGAAGACCTTGCGAACCGCCTCGCACTCCTGGATGTCGCCGCTGGGGGTGGCGGTGGCGTGGGTGCTGAGGAGGTCGATGTCGTCGGCGTTGAGCCCCGCCTTCGCCAAAGCCATGTGCATGCAGCGGGCTTGCTGGACCGGGTTGGGCAGAACGAAATCGCTGGCGTCGGAGTTCATCGCGTAGCCGGCGATCTCACCGTAGATCTTTGCGCCGCGGGCCGACGCGTCCTGGAACCTTTCCAAGGTGTAGATAGCCCCGCCTTCGGAAACGACAATGCCGTTGCGGTCTTTGTCGAAGGGACGCGAGGCCTTCGTCGGGTCCGCGTTGCTAGCGAGGGCGCCTTGGCTGGCGAAGCCGGCGAAGATGCCGAACGTGTGGATGCTCTCCGAGACGCCGCCGCAGATCGCCAGGTCGCACTCGCCGAGGCGGAGCATCTGGGCGCCCTGGATCAGGCCGGCGTTACCCGCAGCGCAAGCGGCGCCAATCGTGTAGTGTGGGCCGGTGATGCCCAGGTTCAGCGTCACTTCGCCGGCCGGGTTGTTGGCGACGGTGCGCGGGTTGTGGTGGTGCGACCAGACACTCGTGTCGTAGTCGT